GGGGGGGGGCTCTACACACACATTTACTCCAACGTGCTGCATTAAGGTGCCATGTGATGTTGAAATTTGATGTGAAATAGTGCGTGATTGAAGTGTTAAAAGTGAATTCGGCACTAATTTATCTGAACCCTGTTTTTGTACCATGTGTAATTATTATGATGTTTGAAAAGAAGAAAAATGGAGGCTGTGCGCGTGCGTCTGGGGGCCGGACTCTGCATCCTGAACCATGACTCGGCAAAATAACTGAACCATGACTCGGCAAAAATAACTGTTTCATGACTCAGTAAAATAACTGTTTCATGACTCAGCAAAAAATAACTGAACCATGTCTCAGAATAAATAACTGATGTTTTATGACTCAGCATCCAGAGAATCATGACTGCAGTTCATGAAACTTTTTTTTTTTAACGGCAGAAGAGAAGAGCAACTTCCTGTTTGGGTGAAGAAAGGGGAGGAGTCATCATGCCATGCTACAAACCCCACCCCCCCCTCTTGAAAAAAGCAACCCATTTGCCGGGCAGTATAGGACTGGATGAGCGACGGCTAACAGTTATTTAAAAACCAGATCAGGACCATTTCATATTGAAACATATAAATATATAATCATACTATCTTCCATTTCCCTCTGATTATTCAGGAATATAAATTCATCATTTCTTTAAAAATTATCTTCAATAACCTAAATTCTCTGAGACTTTAAATTCATATATCTAAATTTTTCAACCTTAAAAAATGTGTCATTATTTAGTGTTTTCTTTGGACACGCCTCCTGCCTAACGATGGATCAGAGACGGGGGAGGAGCCTCTGGCCTCTGACTCCGCCCCCTCAGACTAACGATGGATCAGAGAGCGGGGGAGGAGCCTCTGGCCTCTTGACTCCGCCCCCTCAGACTAACGATGGATCCGAGACGGGGGGAGGAGCCTCTGACTCCGCCCCCTCAGACTAACGATGGATCAGAGACGGGGGGAGGAGCCTCTTGCATCTGACTCCGCCCCCTCAGACTCCTGCAGGACGGCCCTGTGGGAAAATCAAGCCTCAGCGGTTTTAATTGGTCTTTTATTCCACCAGTGAGGCTCAAGAACTGATAGTGTTCATGTTTGTGATGGACCTATGAATATGAGCAGCAGGGGCTCTGTGCTTTTATTTTGTATTATTTAACTTCCTGTTGTGCAGGTGAGTCTGGCTGCATGTCTGAGAGAGAAACAGATCTGAATGCTCCTCCTGGCTTTACTTGATTACTGAACATTTTCAACTCTGTGTGTGTGTGTGTGTGTGTGTGTGTGTGTGTGTGTGTGTGTGTGTGTGTGTGTGTGTGTGCTGCGTCACACTTTGTACAGCTCGATTCTTTGCTTTGACTTTTAGACGTGATGTAATTAAAGAGCTTTGAGAGTTTCCTGTCAGCTGCTCTTTCAGATCATTTGTCAGCCTCTGCAGACCGTTTACATGCACTAACACCTATAGAACTACATTAGAGGGAACACCACAGAAGAAGAACAGGGCCTAGTATAAAAACATTGCTCCATCAAAAGCTGTTTTTCTCACATTATTTACATTTAATCATATTATCTTCTCCTGGTAACAATTTCAGTAGTGGGTTTTAAAGGTCTCCTTTCATGCAGAAGTCACTCTCTAATGTCTTCTCTACATCACCGTGTGTCCCCCATGTGTCCCCGGTGTGTCAGGAGACTCTCAAAGTGTCAGAATATCAACCCCTCTCTCTTTTCCTCCGTACCCACATCTCTAAAAACGGGGAACAACGGAGCTGATCCAGATTTACTGCGTCATGACCACATTACTAAAATGTGGGCGGGCTTTACCCCCACGGGCCAATCAGAAACATTGCTGTCAGAAACAATGAGACGTGATTAAATGACGCACTGCGTTCTAAAAGAACCATCCTTCGGGCAGCAGAGCGGAAATGGTGGAAATCCAAACACCATGA